CTCCCCTATGAGGACAGGTTGAAAGACTTTGGGTTGTTTAGCCAAGAAAAGAAGGAAGAGGCAAGGAGGAGGCAAGGAGGAGGCAAGGAGGAAGAGAAAAAAAAGAAAGAGAAGAAGAAGAAGAGGAGGAGAGGAGAGGCGAGGCTCGGGTGAGACTTTACAGTGGCTTTCCAGTACTTAAAGGGGGCGTACAGGAAAGATGGGGAGGGATTCTTTATCAGGGATTGCAATGACAGGGCAAGGGATACTGGTTTTAAACTGAAAGAGGGTAGATTTAGATTACATATTGGAAATAAATTCTTTACTGTGAAGGTGGGGAGACACTGGAACACGTGGCCCAGAGCAGTTGTGAATGCCTCCTCCTCTGTGGAAGTGTTCAAGGCCAGGTTGGATGAGGCTTTGAGCAACCTAATCTAATAAAAGTTGTCCTTGCCCATGTCAGATTTGGAACTAGATGATATTTAAGATATCTTCCAACCCAAACCATTCTGTGATCTGTGATTCTATAGTTTAATATTGACAGTCTTATGGTCCTTTTGTTTTGTACTGGCTGTCATTCCTTGTGTTTGTAGTTTCATTTATCACACAATTTCTCCATTAACTTCAATGTCACATGTTCCTTTTATCATTAGCCACAACAGGAATGACTCCCTGACTAATAAGGGATTACAGCAAGGGGTGGGAGAAAGGCAGGAAAATAAATGGATAATCCATTAGCTAAAACCTTGAACCAAGTGTTTTGCTCTGGAAACACACACAGGCAAAGCCTTTCTATGGATGCTTTATCCAAGGAAACCAGCAACTTGTTAGTTTGGTGAAGCATAGAGCTGTTTTTGATGCTGCTTCTCTGTTGCTTAACATCTTAACATGTAGCCATTATTTTAATTCCACTTGACATTTGGCTGTTTTTCGATGCTGCTTCTCTGTTGCTTAACATCTGTAGCCATTATTTTAATTCCACTTGACATTTTAGCCTTTTCAATCTTTAATAACACACCACTAAGAAAAGGGCAACTTATTTAAATGCTAATATGCTTAACACGAGTTTCTAAATGCTTAATCCACTATCCTTTGGTTTATAAAGCATTAAAGTTTTACCGTCAATTACTTTTCTCCTGAGCTATATACAGGGATTGAATTATTTCCTAGGCTGTTTCAGATGATCCAGAAACTGAAGCTCTTAAGAATCCTACTTGAGACAATCACTGTGGTATGTGATGTGATCTTCCTACATACCAAAATTTTTACATAGCAAAGAATTGCAAAATGCATTCTACATATCATCAAGATGAGCTTTAAAATGATGGGGGTAAATCAAGACGTAGTTCAATGCACAGATGAGATCAAAGGATCCCTAGCAATCTCAGTATGAAACAGAGCTGGTCTGAAGATTAAACCGTGTCCTTAGGCATTCCGCTAGTGGTAGATTTACTAGATGATCTCCTTCCACATGCAGTAAGTACAGGCTCCTTTGGTCACATAACATTGACACACTATAGGGGTTGTGCTTGAACTGCTTGGCAAGCACAAAGCATCCAAAGTGATCACAGGGTTGCTCTTGTCCTAAGCTTTATTTTCTGTCACTGGAACATTTTTGTGGCTTGTCTTTTTCAATTTCTTTCAGAATTTCCAGAAACTTCCTACAAACACTTCACTTCTGTAGTAGCTCTTCCAACACTGTGTGCTGAGACAAGACCATCTCCCCAGTTCTTACACTTCTAATTTACCTGTAGATCTCATAGGCCATTTCAGCATTAATAAAGATAGTAATTATTCACTAGAAATAATAATTTTGTTTAACTGTAGGTCCATTTCACTAACAACTGTTTTCCAAAATCAGTCTCTTACCTGGTTTAGCATGCAGACTCTGTTCCACACATACCACTACATGTTCGGTTACACTAAGATGCCTAGTTTAAAACTGTAGCAATTCCAACTAACTATTCTTTCACAAAATCTGGGTCATGGCTAACTCAACAAGGACTTTATATACTAAATTACTGATGAAAAATAGATAACATTGTTCAACAAGTACTGGCTCCTGAGGGCTCACTTTCTGATGACTCTCCAGCAATGAATTAACAACAAAATTTGCCACAGTTTTTCAATCTGGCCAATGTATTATTTTAGTCCCATCCAAGTATATGGTTTGGGTTTTGATCCAGATGTCATATTGGAAATAAGGTAAACATTGTATTCTTTTTATCTATTAGTTCTGTAATACTGCCAAAAATGTAATAAGGTTATTTAAAAAGATCTATTTTATAAGAAAATATGTTGAGTGGTATTGATTTTTGTCTTCTAATTCCCTGTTGGTAGAGTTCTTAAAATATTGGCTAGATACTTTTCCTGCTACTGCAGTCTAAGAAATTCTGATCCAAAGATTGATTTTAGTTTGCCTGCTTCAGCCTCTGTCTTTCTTCATAAATCTAAGCACTCTGTCATTTCTTCAGAGAAGTAGCTACTCCCACCCTAAGGAAAGCCACCACCACAGCTAAAATACTGCTGCTGCTGCTTCAGATAAAGGTGTTAACAAACAAATGTTTTGCTTCCATCCACAGGAACACTACCTGGGGACTTCTGTCACAATATTAGATTTTCTAAGTGCCTGTAAATATTCCTGTGTTTCCTCATTAGCACAACAAATACACTGAATCACCTGGCACTGTCTTTGTACTGAACACATCTTTTCTTTCATGCTATCAGCTGGTTATCTCAGCTTCCCTTTGTAGCAGTTCTTTAGCTCACCACCTCTCTGAATTCGCTACCAAAACCTCATTTAGTTCTCTGCATCATCTTGACATTTCTACTCCCTTATGAAACTTTTTAAGTGTCCTAGAAAAAAAAAAAAATAATCAAAAAGATTGTCTTCACTGCAGTATGATTTAGTTTCTGGCCTCACATTGTTTACTTCCCTCTTTGAGATACTTTTGAAATTTCCCTTGATGGATAAAGAAGCAGAATGAAATAGAAAAATAACCACTTCCTCACTGTAATGTAGTTTATTCACTACATTTTAGCAATTAACATTCTAAATTTTTCAGACATGTTCATTCACATTTCAACTTTAAAAGTAATTTGAGAAGTTGCTAAGCAACGGTGACCTGCCATCTCGTCAGTTAATAACTTTTATTCTGAGAACATGATGAAGCCCTCATCAGATTTGAGTGTGCACATTTTGCTATCTCTCCCAGCTGATATTCTCCTCTTAATACACTGCAACCCAAAGAATCCTCTATGCCACTCAACAAAGCCATGATGACGTTTTTCAGTTCACCTCTACATCAATTATCACAAACACAGGCAATTTTTTTTTAACTTAACAACAAAAGGATTTTAATTAGGATTCAGATGTCCTTTCATTCAAGAAATGTTTCAGCCTCCAACCTGTGCTACATCTATTCTACAGCTTCCACTGATTGCTAGTCCTGTAGTTACTCATCAGGCTACTCTTGCTTCTAATACTGCAATAACTATTGTCATCTTCCTAAAAATATGTCTAGTGATAAACTAAAATGTTTTACAGCACAGATACTGTAATCTAAGTAGAATGAATCTGTAACAAAAGGACTTGACAGAAATAATCAAGAAATTATTTATTTTTCTTCCAGAATAGAAACAAAAAACACAAGGGATACACCAAGAATGAAAACAAACGTACACCATGAAAGCACATGAATAATTCCAACGACACTTGGAGAAGTGAACTGCAGAAACATGCAGAAGGATTCCATTGATCAAGAAAAGAAGGGATGAAACAAATCCATGGATTTTTCACACTGGTGGACTGTTTATAATTCAGGCCTTTACTGCATTTGCTAAGAAAACTACTACTTATATTTTCAGTACCAAAACCAAAAATTACTTGTGTTGTTATTGGATATCTGTGGGATGTCACATTAGCTGTGATATAACAATGCACAGATACCCTAGCAGGTAAATATAAACACTATTTTCATTGTAGAATCATTTAGGTTGGAAAAGACCCTCAAGATCATTGAGACCAATCATTAACCTAAGACTGCCAAGTCCACCATTAAACCATGTCCTTAAAATACACATCTTTAAAACACCTCCAGGGACAGTGACTCCACCACTTCCCTAGGCAGCCTGTTCCAGTGCTTGACAACCCTTCAAGTGAAGAATTATTTCCTAATATCCAATCTAAACCTCCTCTGGCAAAGCTTGAGGCCATTTCCTCTTGTCCTATTGCTGGCTACTTCAGAGAAGAGACCAATACCCACCTCACTGCTACCTCCTTTCAGATAGTTGTAGAGAGCAATATGGTCTCCCCTCAGCCTCCTTTTCTCCAGACTAAACAACCCCAGTTCCCTCAGCCACTCAAGTTCTTTTAAGAAATGCACTCTAGAGTGCTTTATAGGTTTCAATAGAACATTTAAAAAAAAATAATCAACTAGCAAAGGAGAGATCAAAATGAAGGCCAAGCCAAAAAGAAACCAATTAAGACTTCAGTATAAAATTTAAGATGCTAGAAAAATTAGAGGCAAAATCAGAGGAGACTGACCAAAGCTGACAAGATCACTCTGAAGACTAATGCACAACTTTTCATTGATGAAGGACAGGGAGAAAACAGCATACAATTAGTTGGCACCTCCCTTGGGCTGACTGAGAAGAGGCAAACAAGAAAAGATATGTGGTATAACTGGCACAGTTTGAGCACAGATCAATGCCGGATGAGAAGTCAAAGTGAGAAATGAGCACAAATTCAGGATCTGTCAGATAAACAAACCAAACAAATTTACTTTAGAGCAAGTCTTCTGTGGCTACGTGCCTTTCAGAAAACCAAGGGCAAGTGGAAAGCACTGTTTTGAGCTTGTAAGACAGTAATTGGGTAATGATGACAAAGACAAGGCTGAGTATTTGATCAATTGTAGAATGGAAAGAAAGAATATTTTGTGAATGTATTTAGGAAAACCTAAAAAATACAGATTCTCTCAGAGGAAAAAACATAAATTCATCATATTTGAGACTATTCTTACCTGTTTGCTGAGGTGAAAGGCCTTTTGCTGATGGAACTTTCAAATTAATTCTCCTTGATGCCAACACTGGAATAGAGAACTTCTTAGGAACCTTGAAGAATTCTTTCATGCTCACTTCTACACTGTAAACTACATACTTCAACTCTGGGGGGAATTTACGAGGTTTGAGAAGTGCATATCTCTGCAAGTGAAGGAATAACGTATACATATGAACAATAATCTCATAATTTCAGGTTAAGAAATGTAAAATTATACAGTTTAAGGGTGTATTTCTAAAACTGAATTGGCAATTGGGCAATTCATATAGAAATTGTTGAGAGATACTTCTAAATAAAAACTGTCTTGTGTAAATTTTTTAGACATCTTGCATCCAAAATATTAATTTAAGAAAAATACATTTTGAAATGCAAAGTAAAACTACTTCCTACCCAGAAATCACTCTGCAAACCTTTATAGGTATTAAGGGAAGGCAAGAAAAAGGGAGAAAAAACATGAAAAGAAAAACATATTTTGTATCAGATATAGACAAATGTTTCTTCTTTCACTTCGTAAAGTCTCTGAAGAATAAAAAGCATGAAAAGGAAAATTATTTTTATATTTTGTGAGGGATAACTACATAGTTAGATGAGCTAACTTTGAAACTTTAACGTTGACAATATATTTGAGAAATCAAAGCATTAGAATTAATCCTCCTCTTGGTAAAAAGCATTGCTAGTCCACAGCATGGAACATATTAGTAAAGGATTAGCACAGTATGTAAAGGCAAACTTAAAACAGGCATCTAAACCTCTTAATAAACTAAATTTGACTCCTGTAAGATAGCATTACAAAAATAATGCAATGATTTCATAAATCATTGCTCAAAATTGCCGTTTTCAATCCAATAACATCATATAATTGCAATGCTCAAGATTAATTGTAAATTGAACAAATTTAGAATCTAAAACTAGTCATATCTTTTTTTATAGACAAGTCTTTGAATTAATTACTATTGTGAATTATATTGAAGCAAATCTAGGGAAGAGATAAATACAGAAATATTCAGATTGTGTTAGGAAAACTGGTTTATTCTCAAAGCCTGTTGGTTTTAAATAATGTCAGGACAGCAGGTATTGCAGTACATATTGCAATGTGACAAGGAATGGTGATCCACTGGGGGAATACAAAAAGGCAATTTAAAAGGGAAGCTTATTGTTCTTAAGAATTACTGTTAAGGGTAATATGGTCAAATTACTGATCAAATCAACTGGGTTTGTGTTCTGTTTTGGGTTGGTGGTTTGTCTTTTTTTTTTTTTTTTTCCCGTTTTAACATAAAACTCATATTCCCTTGTCAGTTTTAGAAAGCAGACCTACACTCTGCCATTGTTTTGTTTTGACTATGAATCTATCATTCCAAGTATCAATATGGTGTTAAACAAAAGGTACAAAAAGTATATATGGAATTTGGAAACCTCTTAAGCTTCAGTTGCTAATATAGGTTTTTAACACAAAAAAATAGAAACATTACTATTCCAGATTCTTGTTTTATGAAGAACAATTGGACATATGTATGTGACTAAAAAAAAATACTCATCGAAACATTCAAAACCAAACGTATGTTAACATAGTTCTTTTTTTACTGTATTTTCACCACTTGCATGGTGCAAATATAATTTACAGAAGGGACAAGAAGAATTGTTATGTGAGTTGAAAATCTGAATTCACTAATTATTAATTTCTATCATGCAAGACTGGAAGTTCACTGACAGTTGTCTCTCTCACACACACACACAAAATAAAAAAATCAATAGGTGCTAATAATTCAGTCACTAAATTAATAACAAGTTCAATTTCTTTCTGATAGGACTGAAATAACAGAAGACTTTGCAGTGGGAAAAAATATATTTCATTCACACTTGTAATGGGAAGTTACAAACCAAAAGTATTGCATCTATTTACCAGTTTAAATATTGGCATATTCAAATATAAATTTATACCTACACATGATTTTAGTAATTAGATTATTTTCCAATACTAGATACAAATCTAACAAGATTAAAAATTTTCAGGAAGTCTTAATTGACAAAGTGATTTTAAGATGACCTTTGGTGGAGCACTGAACACTTTTAAATTACAATTATATTGAAGAGATAGCTTATGATTTAAAAAAAATAACTGAAAAGCTTTATTTTAAGATCCTTGTTCATGCTATCTCATTTTTAAAGATCTGTTAGGAAAAAAGACAGCTGGTTAGTATTACATAGTCTATGAGCATTTCAAATATTTCCTGGTACCTTGTCAAGGAGTAAAGGATGAAAATATTTTTAATGAGACACCTAGATCTCTTTGAAAGGGGAAAAGAAAATCCTGCAAACACACACAAGATTAAACTCTGTTGCCACGAAGGGTAACATTTCCAAGAAAAGATAAAATGTCCAGAGCAATTCAGATAAATGTTGCAGCTGCTTTGCTTCTTTTTAGCATTTTTCAGGGCAGTAAGAGTTAAATGGAATTTAATATTTTTTTAACTTTCATTATCAATAGCAGGTCTGACTGCTGTGCTACAGTAAAACAGATTCCAACATGTACTTCATCAGTGTAATGGTTCATGATATTGCAAGTGTGGAAGTTAAGAATAGTATTTGCATTCAGTTCCTAGGAATAGTTTATTTTTTAGAATAATTTTTTTAAAAATGATTGGAGGTTGTATAAAGCATCAGAATTAAACTCGATATTTTTCAGACTGATTGAATTTCCAAGGTATTTTCTTAGATATACCATCTGCACTGTATAAAGGCTGTGTAAAGGATGGCAGATTCTATTACAGAACGTTGAGGCAGCTTACTCTCTCCTTGCATATCACTGTTTTCCAAATCCTAATTTAGCCCCATTTCCTCCTTCCAGGAATTAACTTCTAAAACTGTTCCTCGTGAACAAAAATATTTATTTTGTCAGTCTTTCAGAATCCCTGTGGTCAATCGTGTTTGCCATCTCCCATAATCCCACATCAAAAGATAAGTGAATACATTAGTCCCACTTAGAACTTTGACAAATTGAAATCTGACCACAGACCCTTTCTGTGAAAGGTTCATTCCTATTCAAATGTACCTAATGTAACTTTTTAATTACAATATCTTCTCTCTTCAAGGACACCAACTTTCTTTCTCAAAATAAAAACCCCATTTGTATTTAAAAAAAACCCAAACTGTTCAAACTGAGCTTACAACTTTTCCATAATCACATGGAAGATGACAAAATTCTTCTTGAATCATGAGGGACTATCAAGAGGACAAACTTTAGAGATCAGAGCTGGACAGATGTAGGATGAGATTCTGTCACATCAGCCAAGCAGTGGAAGCCATAGCTTCAAGTGCACAAGCTCTCTACTCATTTTCCATTGATCCAAACTAAAACTCATCATCACTACCATGACGTGCTATGATAAAAATATTCAAGATTGCTTAGTTACAGGGACAGTAGGATAGAAAGATAATGTACAATGTCCTAACAGCTGGGATACAGCTAAGGATACAGAGATCTGATGTCCACACTCAAATGAGTCATGTCTACAAAGGGAGGCAAAATGGAGCCCAAGTAAATACTTTTTTACAGCTTAACTATGAGGACACATCCGGACACAGTGGGAAGTGCAAGCTTTAGTTTTGGGATTCCTGTACAACAGGAGTTCTCTTCCTTTCCTATCATAGTATCTAATTATACCAGGAGATGACTGGCATCTCTGACTATGAAGAAAGAGGTCTGTATGTAGAAACTGGGTCTATTTGTGCCTCTTTAGGCAGATTCTAGAAAAAAAAGGAAAAGTGAGGCATATTGTTTTGAATTTCACTTCACTGACTGCAACATCCTTTCCCTTGCATACCCAAGTGAATGAATTCTATTTATTCTGTTATTTTCTTTTCTTTTATTCACTTCCTTCTGTTTACCACCATTAGCAACTTCAATCTAAACTAGTTCTGTTCTTCTTCCACATTATCTCCTCTTCCTTTCCAGATATCCTTTTTCTGCCCTTGTTATTTGTTCACCTAAACTTCCTACTTACATCTTTCTCTTATTCACCATTTAAAAAGGCAATTTGTAATGCCAGTTCCAGTCCTAAAAGTGGCACAGAGTTCCATCCTATATTCCTTTTACTACTATCTAAAAGTGGTTTAGGATGAATTAAATTAATTAAATACTCAGGAGGTAAGAAATTAACACAATTGTATACTTAGAAAATAAAATTCAGAACTTTCCTAACATTTTTCATTGAAAACGATTAAAGAAATCACTGTCTGAAACAGGCATGCAACAAGGTTATTATTTAGTTTCTGGTTTTTTAAGCCTTGTGTATATTTATAGGATATATACTAATAGAATTAAACAGCTTAAGGCTTCTTCTCTCTTCATTACTTACATTACCCTAACTGCTTTATTAAATTATGATGCTATTTGGTTTCACATTTATTTTTTTTTTTAAATTATACTAAAGTTTAAGCAAAAAAAAAAAAATCCTTTAACAAATGGTTTGGGTTGTGTTGGCAGGGCAGTAGAGGTTACTTCTGGCAGACAGGGAGGAAGAATGGCAGGTTAACTACTTAACCTTGCTGCTAGGAAGTCCATCAGTGCCCAAGATTGTAAAATAAACTATTAAAATTCTATTTCTAGCTGATTTAAAACTAATTTATGATGTAAAAGACAGAAATAAAATTTTAGCTAAGACTCCTGCTCCTTTCCATTGAATGTCCTTTGAACATCCATTTCCAAACTCCTCAGGCTTGTTGATTGTCACTTCTGTACTCTGATTGCACATTAACTAATACTGGCCCAGCAGTAACACCATTTAGAACAAAAACCCAACACAGTAAATAGGTTCTGATCAGTACGACAGCTTTTACGGGAAAGAAATAAATATCCTTTATTTTTTGGTAACTCTAATCATTAAAGACAATCAAAACTGGTCTTTGTTTCTTACAGTGAGGAAAAACAGTAGTACAAAAATAGCTAAGACTTTCAACCATGTGTATAGATAGGTCGAGTAAAAACACACAGCACAAGTTACTGAATATGCATATCCAGTTCAACCCCAAAAATATGGCCTACATTTATTACTATTTTCTATGTGATTTTAGTAAGCATTAGTAAAATGTAGTTTAATAAGAATGGAAAGCATGCAATTATTTACGTATTTATTCTTCAATTTTACAGGCAAAAAATGGACCAAGTAGTAATAATGTAAGAGAATATTCCCTTCTGTTCATCCATTATATAAAACAATTATGACTGCAGCAAGTGAGGAGAAAGATGGAATAGAAACCAAAAAGGGAAGAGAATAATAGATTTCCAGAGATTCTAGATTTATCTGTAACCTACGACCTATCTTTCAAAGGATTTCATGAGCCTAAACAATTCAATTCATCAAACCACAGCAGCTGTGGATGGGATCTTTCGGTGGTGATGATGGGACAGTTTAGACAACGAACCTAAAACCATACTTCAGCTCCAAATTTAATTGCAGAACACCAGCCCCCCTCAAAAAAAGTTTCTTCACTTAATGCCACCAACATTTCTATATTGTCATTTTTATACAGACAGTAAGAATTTATAACCAAAAGTTATTAGGAACACTTTTCAGAATTTAATTTGCATAGTGGATTACCATATTGAGATCTTTGTCTTTTCTACATCAGTATACAGCAGAACTTCTCCATTTTATTTCTCATAAGCAATTATAAGTCTCTCTGTATATGGAGTAAAATACTTTCTACATTTTAGTATCACTTTTCACATGATATTTTATTCAGTGTTAGTACCCACCATTATGTATTTTCTAACTAATCTAATTGTCCTCCACTCTTCTACAATACAAGTAATTTTAGAACTCATATTAGATCTTAGCATACCTAGTGCTACAAAGAGTGTTACTATTATGTTCTGTCTTGATTACATCCACAGCTTCAGAGCAGTCAAGTCTTTCAAGTATTTGCTAAGTGTCTGTGGTATTAAGGGAATTCAATTATGAGAAGTTTATAAAGCGTTACCACAGCAGTGGATTAGCTCTAATCCAAAAGGAAATTATCTGAGTCTAGATTACACAGTTACTATTCTTGTTCCACTACAAACATGTAACAGATTAAATCTACTCTCATTTTTCCTTATTTAATTTACTTTAGATTAATTTTTAAATTTATCTGTAAACAAAAGTAATAAATTTAGCAACATCAAGACACCAGGGAAAATTATTTTCCTCTTAGTACTGGGAATCATGTAGCACTGAACTACACTCAGGGAACAGTCTAACTGGAAAACTGGAATAGCACAGCTGCCCAACAATCTGTCTAAGGACAGGTAACATCAGGTTCACAAGGGAAATTAAAACGCAGGGTGTGGTTATCATCCATAGAAGATTACATTTTAATTCTATGAGAGCATTCTAATTCTATTTTCATGAGAAAAAAAGCTTGCTTATTTGGCAATATTGTTATTATAAATTTATTTAGAAGCACTAACTGAATGTTTAACGGACTACCTCGAGAAAATTTTTTGTTTCTAGATGTTGAAATCTTGGGAAAATACCTCTGGGTTGGAGTGATGTATAAGTAGGGAGCTATAGCTTATAAGGAGGATCTGTGGTTTTTGCCAAAATTATTTTGTATTGACTGCAAGACAAGGAAAAGTCTGTCCTGCTCTTTGATTTATTCTCAAAGTCTACTCTTTAAAAACAACAAAAAAAAAATCCTGTATGAGAATTTTAACTTCTTACAAAAACCTGCATAAGGAAGGACACTAATACAGATAACTACTACATGGAGTATGAAAGGGTTTTTAAATCAATGGGTATTTTTCAGAAGATAACTGAAGTAAAATGTTAATCATCTTTTTTAACTGCAGCCAAGATTTCTTAAAGGAAGTACTTAATAGTATGGAGTGAGGAAGTAGCTTCAGAATGAACATGTTAGATATTGCAGTGTCTGAGAGGAATTGGGATTAGTAACTGTCAGATTACAGAATGTGTGAAAAAAAACCCATAACTTCATGCTATTTCCTGAAACTTAAAAAATTCAGTCCTACAAATCAAGATCAACTAAATTATTGCAGTAACAGATTACTATTTTTCTCACCTCTATTCTGGACAGCCCTAACAATGCAGTTGCAACTCGAACACTGCTGCTCTGTAGAGTCCCTGTGATCTTTCTTCTCTCATATTCAATAGCTGACATCTGCTGTTGTGCAGCAATGGCCAGGGCCCTCTCTCTTGACTCATTGATCAATGGAATCCTTAGATTTTCTTCAAGAATCTGAGCAAGACCACATTTCAAATATAAAACTGGTTTTACTGCACTTGGACCTGTTAAATAATAAAAAAAAAAAACAACAAAAAACAAAGAATACAAAATTCCTTTGATGTTTAGTTACATGCTATTACTCTAATAGATACTATTTACTCCAGTAATACTTTTTTTTATTAATCATAATGGGGAAATAAAAACAGAGACTGAAATCCAAAGCAAAAGTTGCTTTTCATACTTAATAAAAAATCCCAGACTTTAGTGTTACTACTATTATGACAGTAATGAAAGTTTTTTTTAAAAAAAAAAAAAAAATCTTTTTGCTACCTACACAACACAGCCACTCTTTTATCCCTTTAAATGATGTTGCTTCCCCTTTAAAGGAAGCCACCAGCAATTACTTTAAATAATAGCCACACTGTTTCTGAAACAGGACTGTCAGCAGTTTATCAGTCTGTTTGAAAACAGAAGTATTGGACTACCTATCAAATCGCAACACTGCGTGCAAAACTCGTGTTTTAGAACTAGCAAAATTCTAGGTGAAGATCATAGAATCATAGAATGGTTTGGGTTGGAAGGGACCTTAAAGATCATCTAGTTTCAACCCCCCCTTCCATGAGCAGGGACACCTTCCACTAGACCAGGTTGCTCATAGCCTCCTCAAACCTGGTCTTGAACACTTCCAGGGAGGGGGCATCCACAACTTCTCTGGGCAACCTGTTCCAGTGTCTCACCATGGTACATCTAGCTACAATCTATATTCTGAAGTAGAAAAGAAAAGAAATTATGAAAAAATATTTATGTAGACTATGTTGAAAACAATATGAGAAAGCTGGAGAAGATAGCTAACAACTAGTTGCCTCTCTGAAGAGAAAGGACTGGACAACATTAAAAGAAATAGCTGATAGTTACACTGTAATATCTTTATTTCATTTCACTATAAACAATCGCTTTTACTAGATGTATTTAATTTTAATAAAAATGCACAGGAACTAAAGAATATTTGCAAAGAAAAATAATTTTCTCTATTTTACTCTTTTCTCCCTTCTATTCACTTTACCTTCTAACATACTGCTAAAATGCAAAACATTTGGACTATCCATTGGAAGTAATCCTGAAGGCAAAGGCATATCACCTGTTCCCTCTATCAGGTATAAAAATTCTCCAATCTGAAACACAAGAACATACACATCCACGCAATTCAGAAAGCAACTCATGCAGAACAGAAGGCAAAATATTAAAACTAAAACCAAAGATATCCTAGTGATACTTAAGACCTGACTTGTGAAATAATTTACATATTCAGAAGAATCATTATTCTAAAATATATTTAAATAAAATAATAATTTCAAACCCTGTTATGATAATAAAGTACCTTTATGGGAGAATATTAAATCTGAAAAGTCAAGAAATTTCAATTACTTGTATCCTTTCCAACTCCTCATATAATTTAACTGAAGGAGGATACCCTGACCCATAAATACAGCAATAAAGTGAATTCTAATTATGTGCTATAGCCACATTTAATTTAAACACATATATGAGCTTACTCCACTGCTCTTCACTACTAAGAGCGTTTTTTAAAAAATGTTTACAGTCATTTTGAGCCAGTAACCTTTCTCTAGAAACCAAAAAAGAGAAAAATTCAAGGCAAGTTAGTATCATGTATAAATTCTCCATTAAGAAGAAATAAAGTAAACAAATCTTAATTATTTCATCAAAAATAATGGAAAACCTACAGAAGCTTGAAAGTAAACATAAACATAACCTAGAACAAAGGAAGATAGCAATTTGTCATAGAGAAAAGGATAAATTACTTAGCAGAGAAATAAGACTTTGAATTATAGATTAAACAAAAAAAAAGGTACAAATGAAAGACAGAAATTATTTTTTAACAAAAGAAAACTCACTAAGAGTACTCCAAATTATAAAGGCCACAATCAGAACATCCTGAAACTAAAAGATACCTATATATCTATCTGAATTAGGCAGGAGATTGAATAGATATATTACTACTGCTTTGATAACTTCTTTTTATTTGCCACAAACTTTTTTAGACAACTTTAGCTTCTACTGATTGCAAGGTAAAGGATCAAATGCTGCTGAAACAACTGATATCATTTGCACAGAAGGTCATCTCTTTATTTCATATTCACATTCTGTAAAACTCTGCCCTAAAAATGCATATTCTGTCTTTTATTTTTCATTCCAGATATGAAGGAAATAACTTACTTATATAATTTAGTCCATCTGCCAAACAATGCAATGTTTTCCCTTTAATATTGGTCAATAACACAAGACTAGTCTGCTTTTTATTTTGCCTTTATTCATAGTTTTTTCAGATATTGGTGTTAAGGCTGAAAACATCAGAATGATGTTTCTGACCCAGCAAAAGGAAAACTATTCAGCCTTGCTCGTATTTTCTCTCCTTCCTTGCTTCAAGAGTTCAGACAAATCTTCCTTGAGAAGGATTAAAGAAACCTACAGCAAAACTGGTTTCCCACACATAAACTAACGGTCACTCCTGGGAACCAATTTAAACAGGAATTATTCCTGTTTGACACAGTGTTTTGGCTCCATAAGGACCATTAACAAGCTCACAGCACATATAATTAATTTCATGAAGATATTGGTTCCTAGGATGCCATTCTACTATCAGTTACTTTTCTTGTCATTACTTATAGGTAGGAACAAACTTCCACATTTCCCTCTTTGCTTTGAAGAATTCTTGCTTTTTGATTTTCTAGAACACAAATCCTGCTTTCTTTCTGCTGAGTTTTTTCCTGATGCTTTGGAATAGAATGGGTATTTCAGTGTATTTTGAGTTTAGCTAGTATCTCCACGGTTTTAATGCCTTATATTTCCATTTTCCATCGCTGCATCAACAGCAGGATAGCATCAACATTTTGTAGGGTTTACTGTTAACAAAAATTGTTAATAAAATAGCTGTTGAACTACAATTAGCTATTTATCTAATCACATTGCCAACTGGTGTTTCAAAGGAATGTATAGCTACTAAGAATTTGCAGTCAGTAGTTAAGAACAACAGCTAGTAAAGAGTTCTCTTAATAAACTACTTAATTTTATAATAGACATTTAGATGTGAAAGTCTGGACTGATACTCTTAAACTATGACTTAATAAATCACTATCATTGAAACCATGGGTTGTTCACATTTACATTAGCTCCCAGAAACAAAGTTATACAGAAAAAGCAACCCAGATACGTTAACTAATATATAATTTCTTCTCTGAAAAGATCTATGCTAAAAATTTGAAGAATGTAAATTTCTATTTTTCCTTAAAAATAAAGAAATATTGAAGTGAATTCTTGAGAAATTTGACAACTTGTGCTGTCATTTCAAACCTTGGAAAAGTTAACATACAGATTAGTTCAAAACAATGTAAGCAACATACTTGAGTAGGTCAACAAACCCAGATCAGTGTATCTTCTTGTTTTTATTACAGATATATAGCTGATGCAATGACAGATATGATTCCTAGAAAGATTCAAGTCTAACTACTGATTTGAAACTCAATACCCTCTTCACTGATAGTAATGAAGAAGCAGTCTTATTCTGATTACTGTTTTTGTCCATTTGTCAAAAGCACAGCAAAGGTAGGTAGGAAAATATTACAGAAATACTAGATTAAATTATACATTAGATTATATACAGTACAACTGCATATTTGAATGATACTTCATAATTGTATGAAACTATTTAATCATCATAACAGCATGGTAGCTACACTTGTTTGTCAATCAGATAATGGTAAGATTGAAATATTGCAGGCACATACACAATATTTAAGCAAGGCGATTTCTACTTGTGCCATTACTGAATGGCCCTAAAATCATATCAGCTATCTTTCAGTTTCATCTTTCCCTGGGAGATTTACTGTATTTTCTTACAAATTAAACAGCTACATGGATGAGACTTAATTTTTCTAACCTGACGTGCAACATACCAAAAATTTTGCACTTTCAGCAGCCTTTAAATGCATCCCACCTACTCAGCTAAGCTGAAAGGACTAGATGTTTCAGAAGTAGTTACCATACAGGACATAACAGTGGTTTCTCTGAGGCATTAATGCTTCCTGCTATGGTAAGGTCAACTAGTTCTTTGATAAGAATGGTGACTAGTAGTTAGGTGTCTAAATTTAGTTGTTTCTAGATCACCACTACAGGCTACACTGGGCCTGGTAGAAATGTTCTTCTCCCTTTGCACTTCAAGTATAACTGTCCCATAGCTCTGACCACGTCTCTTAGATTTGCTTTCCTCCAATTGTCTCATTCTTGCCATTGTTTCCATTTCCATTCTCCTCATAAAATTATTCTGTTCTCAGACTCTATACATAATGTAGCATGAGCCTTCTCTTCTCATTCAGGGTATATACTTGTGCTTCTACTAAAGAAACAAACAGGGTGAATGCCAATAGCAGAGGTCTAAAGAAAGAGCATAAAATCACAGTAAGTAAAAGAAGATCCCTGTCACATCTGCTAGCAGGAACCAGTAGGTTAGAGTCTTCCTTGTCTAGAGACTGCATCTAGATATTTCATTGAATAAAAATGATGGACCTAATGTTCATGAGTTTGTCTAATTTCTTTTGAACTAGTTAACAGTTTTAGCATCCAAAGTGTCCTATGAGTTACAGAAGTTAAATGTTGTATATGAAAAAGTACTTAATTTGGTTCAGTTTGCATATCCTGCCACAGCTGCTCTATTAGTTTTCTGCAACTATTCATAATTCTATGTACCTGTCATCTCTCTTAACAATCTCTTTTTTAATTACAGGAAATTAACTGTTTTAAGTATCTGTCACTATAAAGAAACTGTTACATCCTTTTGATCATGCTTCTTTCTTTATTTTGTTTCCCTATTCCTATTATATTGCTTGCTGGGCTGACAGCACACATTATTCAAGATGCGTACACCATAGCTATTTAGAAAGGTATACCGAGGTTTCACATTTTAATGTTTATTTCTTTCCTAATAATTTCTCCTTCTGAATTATGCTGAGCAGTGGATTGATGCTTCATTGAACCATCTACAAAGATTGCTATCTTCTGACATGAGGACATTTATACAGCCTCTTTGTGGCTGATTCCCTGGTGCCAATAAGGCATGAGCTCACTGTCTTACTGTAGGCTTTGACAGACTATCCCTTTTCTGTCTCTGCTAATTTTCAAGAAACCCAAGTGAACTGTACACTCTTTTAACACTTCCAGCCATATGGCTTGCTTTTTTAAAAAATGGTCAGTAGTTTCAAATATTGAACAAGGTCAGATACAGGCTTGGGCATCATTGCATTAGTGTCATTTTCCTTTAAAAGCAAGGAAAAGATTAATTTGGCCAGGTGGCATAGCTGAAGTTAAATTAAACAATAAAAACAAATACCAAACATATAAACAGTAAGGACTAGCAGGAGTCCTTCATTCTATAGTAATTAAAAACATGGAAGGTGAGACCGTGCAGGAGAAAAAGCATAAGTAATTTAGTTTTAGTTGTATTGTTAGTATCATTACAAATCATGAAAACATGTCAGAGAATGGCAGATGCATGTAATTGCACAAAGGGAAAGCTGGAACACAGAGGTAGCACTATAAAAGTAAGAAGCAGAATGCAAGCCTTGAAATCAACCACACATAAAATAAGACTAGAAAAAAAAAAAAAAAAAAAAAAAAAAACAGGGTGTTGAAAAACATTGACAGCTAGAGAAAAAACACAGCAGAGAGGTTAAAGAGGTGAAAAGACTGACTAAAGACACGGAAAGAAGAAGATTGTGACCACTGAGATAAAGGATTACAGGGACATCAATGAAGCTAAAGTGCAAATTTTAAGCTCTGAAAGCTGGTAAAAACTGGGTTTTGATAATTTGATTAAATCAATTTCACTTTAGTATATGTGGCAAAACCCAGGCTCCATGAGTACAGAGAAACTGAAATGGAGTCGGTATTCATGTGCAATCTGTTCAAAAGATTTACCTGCATTGGTGAAAAGGACTGAATGAAATTTGGATTGGCAGAAAAATTAAAAAAGAGACAGGCCAAGGAAAATTTTTATTATTCTACTCTGACAATGTATCCTAGATACAGTGATAAATACACAAAAAAGTACAGTATAATAAAGACTTTATCCTTTCCCTGCCTATGTCTTATCCAAAAGCAT